TTGACCAAATTTTACTGTTTTAGTGCAAGCATAGGTGAGATGTCACTGAGTTAGAAAAATAAAGTGTTTATATTTTACTCCCAGTACATAGGAGAATACCAGTGCCCAGAGAAGAGTTAAAGTTGTTATTTGGACTAAATTGAACCTTCCTGGGCTTCAGAATCCAGACTATGATGAACTCTGTTCACTTTTAGATGAAATGCAAGAAATAGGAGGGTTCTCAAGGATAATACCATCATAGCCATAAAATTACCACAGGAAACTGTAGAACTATAGGCACATGATGTCCATGTTTCTTTGTTTTCATCTGTGCTCAATCTTGCTTTAAATTTTTATTTTTAAGAAGCATAACTGTATTACAACTGGCAAATACAAGAGAAGATAGAGTGTAATGAATTGAAAAATTATTCCTCACTTACCTATAAAATACTTGGCCAAATCTTAGAAAAAAGCAAATAGTGTTTTATTAATCTCATTACCCTGTTGATTATTATAATTTCCTATGGCACCCAGTACATTTATCTTATCTCATAAGAACAAATACTACACTTGATCTTAGCCAAATGACTGAAAAGCAAATGTAGCAGATTATTTTTATTTTGCAGATTAAAGAGACACAAAATCCATATGATTAGCCATTACTAGAGCCATAACATGAATGTCAGACCACTTTTTACTCATTTATTTTGTAAGAATTTCAAACTTTCAGAAAAGTTGTAAGAATACTAAAGTAAATGTCTGTAGTTTTCATGTTTACCCACCAGTTCATACTTTGTCCCATCACCTATTCTATGTACTCTCTATACTATCTAATAGTAAACTGTAAACATCATGTTGCTTTAAAGCTAAATATTTCAGCATGCCTCCCTAAGGACAAGGGCATTCTCTTGGATAACTATAGTACATCTATTATAATTAACTATTCATATAGTTAATTATACACTATATAGTTAATTATATGTATAATATATACATGTATATGTGTATACACATGTATATATATATACATATATTATATACATACACATGTGCATAGATAATACAGTCCTAATTTAAGTTTTGCCTATTGACCAATAATGTCTTTATAGTAATTTGTTGTTCACAATGTAACCCAGCATCAGACATTACATTTAATAATCTTTTCTCTCTAGACTCCTTTGTTCTGGAGTGTATATCAGGCTTTCTTTGTGGTACTTGATGTTAACATTTCTAAAGGGTAGATATGAGTTATTTTTAAGAACATCTCAATTTGGTGTTTGCCATATTTTTCTCATAATTAGATCATGTTTTGTTCTTTGAGCTGAAATGCAGTCATTCTTACCTATATCGTTACTGTCCCTAGGGCTAATAAACAACAAGGAATCCCATGAGAGAATATAGATGGTGGCTTAGGAACCCATTGATTCCATCTTTTTCAGTATTTCCTGAATGCTCAACTGTCTCAACTTCCAGGACCCTCAGTCTTCTTTACAGAATATCCACCTATAGTATCCATGTGCTGTGCAGCCCCTGGTTAAAGCTGGGCCCCCTGTGTAGCCCTCTCCCTTGTTGGAGGAGACCAGGCCTATGTACCATTCCCATAGAACTGCAATTACACATTTCTTCTCCCACTCTTCTTCCCTCTGGTATCAAATATTTTTCACTTATTAAAAAAAAATGATAAACTGTGATTGCTATTCTCTTTTTTTCTATATTGATTTTTTTTACATTTCTTTTCTCAGTAACACAAAAATTAAAGTAAAACAATGTGCTAACTATTGTCTCTATTTCTAAAATGTGCAATTATTAACTCATATATTATAGTAACACTTCTTTCAACATTTCAACTACTCATAGATTCTGAAGTAAACTAAAATTTATCATTTTGAATTCATTATCTCATCACATATAGGAAATTTTAATATGACATCTTCATCGATTGTCTGAGCAGCTCTGTTTAACTATAGATAGCATATATTTTACATAGTAGAGAGCAGCAGGAAACTTTTGAGTATTGTTGGTAAACTTGCCTGATATAAATCAAAAGTCACAAAGGGAACACTCACAGACAGTGATAGAGCACTATGCGTACAGAGTTATAGTTCCAATCATCCTTGTACTGTAAACCAAAGCAATAATTGTTACACATATTGACATCTTACAGCACATCGTTTTTAGCTCATGAAGATAAGAATTACTTTTTCTAGTGATATTCATTTTAAATTACATTTCTATATCGTATTCAAAAGGACATAGATAATTTAAATACATCAGAGTCCTGTCCATGTCTTTAAACTCTTAGCACAGTTAGCCCTGGTTTTGTGTCACCATCTTACCTCTTGTAATTTACTGATTGAATTTGGAAAATTTCAAAAACAGTTCCAAAATGATATAACTTAAAATTCATTTCAACTTTTTAAAAATTAGAATATATAAAAATATTTTCAAATGAGGTTACATTAGAAGATATTTCAAATATATTGTAAATAAGGAAGATATGAAATGGAGCCTAACTGATAAGGAAGTGAAGCAAAAAAACAGTGGTTTATTTACTACCAGATATTTTATACATATTTTACATTTTATATATATATATATATATGTGTGTGTGTGTGTGTGTGTGTGTGTGTGTGTGTATTTAACTGAGGCTGAGGAAACCATCCAGGTTTATTACTCAT